GCTCTCTCTCTCTCTCTCTCTCTCTCTCTCTCTCTCTCTCTCTTTATCTCACTCTCTCCCTCTCTCTCTCTCTCTCTTGCCTTCTCTCACACTATTTCCCTATCTCCATCTATGTCACTTTCTCTCTTTCTCTATATATCCCTTTCCCTCTCTCGCTCACTCACTCTTCCATTCTTCTGCTCTCTTTCTCACTCTCTATCTCTCTCTCTCTTTCTTCTCTCCCTCACTCTCTCTTCACTCTTTCTCTTTCATTGTATCTATCTTTATAAAAAACACATTTCCCTTCCCTAATCTCTTTATCTCTCTCAAACGCTTTGCACTCCCTCTCCCTTATTTCATCTCTCTACACTCCTCCCTCTTGCACACATTCTTTCTCATTATCTCTCTCCCTCTCTCTTGCTTCACTCTCACTCACTCTCTCTAAATATATTACTCTTCTCTCTCACCCTCTCCCTATCTCTCCATCTCTTACCTCTATCCTTTTTTTCTCTTTATCCCTCTCCCTTCCCTTATTTATCTCTCTTTCAATCTCTTTCCCTTTATCATGCTCTCTTACACTCACTCTCTCTTTGTTTCACTATCTCTCTCTCACTCCCATCTCCTTCCTCTCTCTCTCTCTATCTCTCTCCATCTCATCCCTCCATCTCTCTCTCTTTCTCTCTCTCTCTCTCTCTCTCTCTCTCTCTCTCCCCTCTCCCTCTCTCTCTTGTCATGTGTCACTAACTATCTTGCTTCTCTCTGTCCCACTTTACCTTGCCATCTTTATCTCTTGATGTTCCACTTAATCTCCTATTCATTCTCTCTCTCTTTCTCTCTCTCTCTCTCTCTCTCTTAATACATCTCTTATGCTCCCTCCTTATCTCTTGCTCTTAATATCTCACTCTATCTTACTCACTCTACCTCTCCTGCTCACTCACTCTATTCTCTCTCACACTTTTTCTGAGTTTTTCTCTGTCTCTCTCCGACTCCATCCCTCATTCCCTCCCCCATATCTCCCACTTTATTTCTTGTTTCTCTCTCTTTCATTTCTCTCCTTTTCTACCCCCTCTTCCTCTCATGATCTTGCTATCTCTCTATATTTCTCTTTCCTAAATTCGCTCTTGCTCTCTCTCACCTTTTATCTTTCTCTATCTTGATCTTTTTTTCTCCCTGATCCATCTCTCACCTATTTTTTCTCTCAAAAAAAATTCTCCCTTTCCTCTCTATCTCTATAACTCTATCTCTCTCTTTCTCTCGCCTTTATTCTTCCTTTTCTATCTGTATCACTCTCTCTCAACTCTCTCAAATTTCTCTTCCTCTATGTTTGCTCTCCTTCTTTCCCTCTATTCTTGCACAATCTCTCTCAAACTCTCTCACACACACAATATTTCTCTCTCCATCTCTCTCTTATCCTCCCTCTTTCCCTCTCTCTTCATTTCCATCTCTTTTTCTTTCTCCCTCCCTCTCTCTCCCTTAGCCCCCCTCTCTTTATCTCACTATTTCACTTACTGTCTCTCTATTACTTTTTCCATCTATATTCTTTCTCCATATTTGTTTTTCTTCCTCTCTTCCTTTCTCTCTCCCTCTCACTCCCTCTCTCTCCTAAGAATATGTTTGCTTATATGTTTATGTGATTTCAAACTTTATTGTTATAGTGGCTCTTTCAAAAAAAAAAAATATTGGAGATTTATTTAGGGAATTGATAGAATTAGGAATTTAGATACTTGACCTACCGTCCGACCTCTGTTCCCGCCTCGCCTACGCGAGCTAACCGGGCCGGGTCGTGACACCCATCCTTTCTATATCTCTATCCATGATTCCCACACTCACTTTTTGTCTATCTCTAGGTCACTCTCTCTCCATCTCTTTCTCCCTCTTTATCAGACTCGTGATCTATCCCATTAATACTCTCTCTTCACTAAAATAAATATTTCTCTCACTAAAAAAAATTTATATAATATATATCTCAATCTCTCCCTCTGTTTATTCCTCTTGTTCTTGCACACACTCTCTCTCATTCAACTTCTCCTTATCAGCCTCTCTATCTCTTCCCTATCCATCCCACTCTCTCTATTGTTCTATTTATCCGTCTATCTCTATCTTCCTTCTCTCACACACTCTCGCTCTTTCTTTTACACTCTCTCAATCTCTCTCGCTATTCTCTCTCTCTCTCTCTCTCTCTTGTTTTCTCTCTCACCTTCTCTGACTCTCTTTCTCTCTTACTCTCTCTTCATATCTCTCTCTTAAATTCAACTCATTTAAAATATAGCTCTCTCTCTCTCTCTCTCTCTCACTTTGAATCTCTCTACTACCACCCTCCCTCCCTCTCTATCACACACTCTAGTCTCTTACTCCCTTGTTTCTCTATATCACTCAATCTCTATCACACTCACTCAATCTTTTTCTCCCTCTCCTATTACATCATTCTGTCACATACTCTTTTAGTCCATCTAAATCTCTCTCAAAATTTATATAACTCACTCCCTCTCTCTCTTTTTATCTCACATCCATCTCTTACATATAGGTACAAAGGGGTAAGTATAATTCCAAACACCCGCATGAGCCCCAGCGAGCGTGTTGTTGGTTCACACGTGACGTCTAGGGATGCTACGCGGGTTGACAAGTGAATTCAAGTTCGAACTCGATCCTTCTATACGGATAAATAGGAGTCGAGAGGGTTCGAACCACTAAGCCAATATACGGTTACGACGACCGATATACTTATTTTAATACATTCATATTAGGTCTTTAAGGCCCATAACAATATGAATTCACTAATAAAGGCACAAAGCCTACGAAACTCAATCCCCTATCAGCAAATTGATAGGGTCGACAAGGTTTAATCAATTGGAAATGATCTGAAACACCCCGATGATGGCCGTGTTGAATGCAAATCTCAACCGGAAGGGTTCACAAATACTTTCAAACTCCATCCCAAACACCCCGATGATGGCTGTGTTAAATGCAAATCTCAACCGAAAGGGTTCTATCCGAAATACCTACAAAGCCTAATATCCTACAATTCCAAAATCATCCAAGTCCAAAATATTTAAAAATGGAAATCAATCCATTAAATAATTTAAAGAAAAATCCATCCACCCTTCAGCTCACATTGTGTTAAATGTCTACTCGAGAAATATCATTAGAATCTATTCTCAAACAATATCCTATTAATAAGGACGTGGTACGCGTCTTCTAACTAGCAGTTTTGCTGCCAAATGGCACCGTAGGATAAACGGTTATAACTCGGGGCCCTCTGAATCGAGTGGTTTTGCCGCCAAATGGAACCATGAATACCGATTATGGCTAGAGCCAATACGTTCCTTATTAGCATCAAATCCTTGAGATATGAATTAATAGGGTATGATCGATAGGGTACAAAGCCCTCTGTTAGCTAAGGTGGATTCAAATTTGTCCCCTTTGTTAAACATTTACCCCAAGTCTATAAGGTATCCTTGGATGAAGCAACCGATGGTTGTCGATAAGGATCCTTCTGTCAGGTTGGGTCGACTTCCTCCTCTGACTAGGTAGATCATGGACCACGATGGCCCGGGATGACAGAATCAAGGGATCTTGATAGGGTCCATCATCCATTCCCCCACCACCCGCTTTAAGTGGAAGATGGTGAAATTTTCAATTTTAAATATCAATCCTTTAAATTCCTTAAGCCCATTGCTGCTACTATATGCCAGATAATACGTATACTCTATGTATATGATTGACGACTAGCCTTAATTGAATGTTCTCTCTCGTTACTAGGAGGGGTAATTAACTATAGGGGCTTGCGCCTACAGGAAACCATAACTCAGATCATAAAGTCTCGACAAATGAGGGCAAAATCTTTGGGTAGTGTCTTATCTAGAAACTCATCTGCCTTCTCAAATTTACCCTGGAACTTATTCCGTTTAAACTCCCTCGCAAAAAAAAAAATAAATAAATCTGTGCGGGCGGAGGCCGGGGCTGAATTTTCGGAGCCCACATTCCCTTTCTCACAAACTATTTTTCTCTCTTTATTGCTATATCAATTTTTTCTCTTTCTCTCACTTCTCTCCCTCCCTCAGTCTTTTTCCCTCTCCAATCATTATTTCCAACCCTCTCTCTCTCTATTTATATCTCTTTCTCTCCCTGGCTCCCTCTTAATCTCACCTTTGTCATTCATTTTGTTAGTTTTTATCTCTCTCAATCTCTCTGTCTCTCCCACCAACTAACTTTATCACTCTCTCTCCTTCTCTTTCCCTCTCTCTTGCACTCTTTCTCACTCTCTCTATCTCTCCCTATCTCTCTCTCTCCCTTTCTCTCACCCTATCTCTACTAGTTCTCTGTCTTCTTCCCTCTCTCCTTCTCTCTATTTCAAAATCACTTTTTTCTCCTAACTGCTTCCTTGTTTCTCTAACAATGTTCCAATTCTGAATTTTTGGAAACCCTAATGGCGCACTAGTAAGCCTTTACTTAACCATTCCACCTTTCTTCCTAGATAAATGTTGGTCTCGAGTTGCTGTCGTTAATCTTTTATTATGAATTTTTCATAGGTTTTTTGAGATCTTTCTAGGACTGCAAGTTCGGTGCATTGATGATCTGTTAACATAAAAACTTTTCTTTCTTGCTTTGTGACATATGTTAATTTTCAGCTTTACAGTCGCCGCATTGCGATTTTAGCTTGAAATTGTTCTTGTTCTTAATAAAGAGCGGATTTTGGTTGGACAAATATCTAGTTCTAGTGATAAAATACATGGGGACGATTACTATGAAAGACCCATGTTTGGGTGAACAATATCGAGCTGCTTTCCTCTAAGATTTCAGCTGGTTACACATTTTTGATGCATGCATCTATAATTTTCATATGGTGGACTAATGGGGGATGGTTTTGTTGTATGGGATGTGAGTGAAGTAAGGAAAGTTCCTGATTATCAAGTTTTGTGGTTCTTTCTTTCCTCTCAAAAGATGTTTATTATTTAACCTGGATGAATATTTATGTTTGTTGATCCGGTCAAATTCATTTTGCTTGTAAAGGAGGCTTTTGCGGATTCCAGCAGTGATGAAAGCCTTATTTTTGAGATGCTTGATTTCAAAAAAAGAGATCGAAGATGATGGAAGCACTGTTTGGTTTTTACGGGACATGGCTCGTGAACAAGATGCAGAAGAAAGCATGGTAAGCAGTGTGATGATGTTTTTTTTTTGACATACTTAGAATACTATTTGTGCAGACAATCGTAATTTTTTTTTCAGAATTTTCCTTTGAAGAAATGTGTATTGGCTTCTTGGATGCTTTCTTAATTTTTATTGACTGTCTAATGTGTCCTTTAATGACATGAAGCATTTTAGGGAAGCTAAGGAGTGAAATTTGCTGTAGAACTATGTGATTTTTCTTAACAGCATGTTTTTGTTTTGGTTTGTATTATTAATATGGTCTGTCTCTAGGGAAGCCTTGGTCCAATAGGAATTAGTAATGCAAGAAATGTTGTTTTGATATGTATATCTAATTTGAAGATTATTTGGGCAAAATTTTACAGTGGAAAACAGTATCGACTTCATCTGAAATGCTGGAGAAGTCAATATGTTTTTGCAACTTAATGTTTTTATTTCCACAGGGAAAGTTGTTGACGTCATTTTTGCTCGCTTTCTTCTCGAGCATGTTCGATCGAGTCAATTAGCTCTGATTGAGCCTACTTTGAGTTAAATCGAAGTTGATTGTAGTTTAATTTTATTAAATTAATGTGGTTGGACCGAATCAAGCCCAAATCTACCCAATTCGATTCGAGTCAAGTTTGACTTTGAACCTAAACCTTGCCCAAATCAGCTGGGCTTAATTTCTATTCAGGCCTATTTGACCTTCTTAATAGTTTGAATCTTATTCCTAAATCGAGAAATAACTTCGACAGTTCCGATTTCGTCAAGACCCGATGCCTGTAGTCGTCGCAGTGTTTAGTCATGTGATGCTCTTATTTTAGCATGGGACAGGGTTATTTTAGCTGAGAGAGAGAGAGAGAGTGAGAGAGAGCTAGAAAGTGAGATTTGAATTTTTTTTAGTTGATACTATGGTGTGTGTGTGTGAAAGAGAGCGAGAGAGGGGGAGAGATAGAGAGCTAGAAAGTGAGAAAAGGTGAGAGAGAGAGAGAGAGAGAGAGAGAGAGTATGAGAAGATTGAGCTAGAAAGTGAGATATGCATTTTTTAATTCATAATATGGTGTGTGTGAGAGAGAGAGAGAGAGAGAGAGAGAGGAGCTTAATAGGGGAAGAGAGATGAGGTGAGATAGTGAGAGAAAGAGTGAGTGAGAGAGAGAGAGGAGAGCTACAAAGTGAGATATGAATTTGTTTTTATTTAATGCTATGGTGTGTGTGGGGGGGGAGAGAGAGAGAGAGAGCTAGAAAGTGAGTGGGAGAGAGGGAGCTAGAAAGTGAGATAGAGTGAGAAAAATAGAGAGAGAGAGAGAGAAAGAGATGTGGTGAGACAGTGAGAGAAAGAGAGAGAGGAGAGCTACAAAGTGAGATATGAATTTGTTTTTATTTAATGCTATGGTGATGTGTATGTTTCATTTACATGTGGAAAGGATCATCTAACAAATGTGACTCACAAGCATGAACCATAGAATTTGCAATGAGGTGGTTTATCCATAATGTAAGGGAGTCTATAATGTAAGTGGCCATAAGGCATACAATGGGTTTGTTAATTCATCATAAAGGCTCCTAAGGAACACACTAATTCATCAGGAAGATGATGAAAGAACATAGCTCACCTGCATTAGAATTCTGCAAACAACGAAACTAATGGAAATATATAACTTGGTCGTAGCTAAAGGAGCAAAGATCTTTAGCAAATATAACACCTACAAGTAATGCCCCTACATGTGTAATATTTATATCAGTCCTGTAAGCAAGAATACTGATCTCTAGTGAACAATGATCTGCATACAAGCAAGGATAAAAGGGCATAACAAAATGCAAATAACCACTAGTAGGGATGGAAAATTTGCTGCAAGCACAGTAACTTCCTACGACCACTTACAATCAACATATAATGGGTGTAATAAGTTATCGACAACATATGTGGGGAAATTAACATTGAATGCAACTTGTATAAGTAATCAGTATAAGGTTATATGCAATCAATGCAACAAAGTCTCTTACAAAAATACACAATGCACCACATTTGAAACACATACGAGTCCTTACGAGTTATTGTGGAAAACTTTTATTTATGCAATAATCTCTCTACGAGCACGACAGGTCAATGCATATGTGATGCGTGTAATATATTGTCTACAGTCCAATGATAGTAGATATGCAATGGATTTAACAAGTATACCCCACAGTCAATACCAATCTACAAGCAGACACACTAGAGCCCATGCAAATGACGAAAAAAAATCCTATATACATGTGATATGTTACTTACAAGTAAGAATGAAGGCCCACAATGCATAAAAAACTGTGCAGTGAATATGGTGATTTATCAACAATCACAGATGTTGGATGCCAACATTCATAAGCAAATCAACCAACATCAGTTCACAAATGAGCATGTTAATCTACTTGCAAGAAGTGATAGTAGAAATGTTACCGAACTGCAACAAATACAAATGTTTACGAGGAACTGAAAAAAGTTCCTTTGTGCACTCAATGTGTCACTTACAAGAAAATTCATAAAAACTATGACAAACACAAGCTTCTACGAACTACCGTAGAAGACCCGTCAAATATTCCAAAATACCCCTACACTTGCAGTATAACATGAACACTAGTGAATGCACTTGCAATCATACACCTGCATGGGCCCTAGCGAGCGTGTTATAGGTATATACGTGACATCTAGGGATGCTACACGGGTCAACACATAAACCCAAGTTCGAGCTAGATCCTTCTATGCGGGAAAATAAGAGTTGACACCGCTCGAACCATTAAATAAATATACAGTTGCGGTATCAATCGAGATATTTATTTTATACATTCAAATAAGCCCTTTAAGGCCGATAATAAAGAAAATTCATTCATAACGGCATAAATCCTATGAGGAACCCAATCCTTTGTCAACAGCTCGACATAGTCGACAAGGTTCAATTCACAAATGCAAATTACCCCATACTCCCTATTGATGGTCGTGTTGAATGTTTATCTCAACTGGAGGGGATCATGCCTTTTCAAATGCTATTAAATTTTGACAAAATACAAAAACATGAATGACCCCATACACCCCGATGATGGCCGTGTTGACATAAAATCTCAACCAGAGGCGTTAACTCCAATAATTTAAAATTCCAATCAAATTCCCATAAAAAACTCAAAATTCTCAGAAAATACTTGATTAATTATTCATTTTGCCTATCGTTTGATTTGTTGGGCATTGTGATACAATATATGTACTCTTTGTAATCAGATAAGTGAAGATTATGAAGTATGCATTTCAGAACCAATGAGATAAGAACACATTATAAGATAACAAATTATTTAAAACCATCATTTGAAATAAATGAATCACACCAAAAACATTTCAAAAAGCACTAACCGAAGCTATTTAATGCTACCACCAAATGAATAGTTTGACCATAAACACCACCAATAATTAACTAAAAGGAAACTAGCTATCTCCAAAGTAGCGAGCTAAGTATATAATAAAAATATCTAATAATATTAATATGGATGACAAGGAAAAGTGTAAAACAACACCACCATAAGGTAATAAAAAGAAAACTAGCTCAACAAGATTGAAAAATCAAGCTTTCAAATAAGGGTAATGAAAGCTATTGCTGATTCTACTTGGCATCCTCCTCCTACCGGGTGGATTAAAATAAATATTGATGCAGCTCTTAAAAGAATAAGGGTAATGAAAGCTATTGCTGATTCTACTTGGCATCCTCCTCCTACCGGGTGGATTAAAATAAATATTGATGCAGCTCTTAAAGGGATCAACTTGCGGGATAGGTGAAGCTTATCCGAGTATGAAAAGGGAAGGTTTTTGCTTGCTTCGGAACAAATTAATTTGCATTGGATATATTTCTTATTTTAGAGTTAATGGGCTATCGAAGTCTTGAAATGCTGCTGCAAGGCTGGAGCTTCAAGGTGTGATAGTAGAAGGAGACAACTTAATATAATCAATCTGCTAAATAATGCTAAATCAAAGATGGAAGGTTATAAAGATAAGCTTTCTACTTGGTTATAAGCAAGTGTTTTTTTACGCATTCTTTAGATAATGGGAACTAACTAGGAATTGTGCTAATATATGTGCCCTGGAAATCTTTTTATATGGGAAGATCTTCATGATGTTATTATTCTCCTTCTTTCTTGGTATTGCTTGAAAGGAATGACTTTTTAGACTTACTACTGACTTGTTGTTCTTGGTTCTTTAATGCATTTTTCTGCATTTCTTTCAAAAAATAAAAAATAATAAAGGTAAATGAACTTGCGAAACTTCAAAATAACCCTTAAATTATGTCTTGGAAAAAACCTCCTGAAAAATGTAATATTACATTTAATCCAAGATTAACATACAACTCTTGATTAACTTCATTATAGTTATGCATAGTTTTATGTATGATTTTACCACTCTATTTGCATATACACTAGCAGATTTCTATGAAAATATTTGAATAAGATTTCATCATACCCCTTTTATAAAATTGTTGGAATAATTTTGAAACAATTACTTTAAGCCTAAACAAAAAACCCATATCAATTTCACTTTTAGTATGCAATGAAATAATTGCCCACCATTATAAAACTCAAATTAAAATGCATTCACGCTATTTCTTACCTCTCACAAAACTCCTATTTGACAAACCTATGTAACATTCATCAATATTCCCAAATTTAAAGTAACCGCCAGAGAATTATTACCTGTATCACATCATAATTATTTCCTCTTTCTATTTAACGTAAACATATGTAGAAGCCAGTTCTTCAAACCCTTGAACAACAGTCAGAGTATGTTAGCTTCAAAAATGACTACTTATGATGGCTAAGAAGAGCATTCCAAAAACTATCCTGGGAATATGGTAGGAAACATGGCATCTTTCTAGCTTGGCAGACTTCATTCCAGTTGAAGAATTCTTCAATGATAAATAGAAGGTACTATAGGGTTAATTTATCCGATGAAATTAAAAGATTATGGCTTTTATACATTTTTAATTTGTCTTTAAAAGATGACCATCATCCATCTTCTTTCACAAAAACGTGCGTCATCTTCCTTACAATTAATGATAATGGAAAGTGAATATGTACGACCCATCAAAAGTGCGAATACCTTAAAAGACACAGGTTATATGATCCAATACTCATTGCGATCGCAATAATTGCAGACAAGACAGATTATGCGTTTTCAAAACCCAAATCAGGCACAATCACCAAGCTGACAGGACCACCTATTCTATCATAATCAACACACAGATAATTTCCTATTTCTAGCTCTCAAAAGTTGCATCTTAGTTTCATCTTTAATTAATATTGAGCTAAATACCAATTAGCTTTTCTATAATC